CGATAACATCCCGCAGTTGTTCTTTTTGGTCTTGTTAAACTGGAATGTGATATCTATTTGTTTCGTTAAGTCGTAATCCTGTTTGTTGAAAGGGCTAGAAAAATGGGATAAACGGCGTTCCTAATCTGCCTCTGTGGCACACAAGATTTTCGAGCCTGCTCTGCCTAGAGGAAAATCCTTCAAGCGTGATGGCTTCATCCCGAGGACAGTCGCTTTTACCGAGTTGAGGCGAAGCTATTGTTAACATTGAGAATGGGTTTGCGGCCTGTATAGCATGACTTGTACCTCTGTTGCGCATGCGAGATTAGCGAAAAGCTATTTTCATTCTTCTAGGAAGTAGAATATTTTTTCGTGATGGATTCAGAATATTTATAGAACAACTTCCTTCCTAATGCGGTGTGACCAACGCTCTACCGATGACATAGATATCGTCCACTTGTCTGACATTGTTTTCTATTAGAAAGGGTTTGCATATTGGTTGTTTCCTTTCGATTAGAGCAGGTACAACATGGTACGTTTTGGTAGGACAATATCTTCTGTGATACGTACATCGTACATCGGTGTTGCTACCAATTTTATCGAATTCATCACGAGGTTTAACATGTCGGATCCTATTTCTTAGGATGTTTTGATGAAGGTCATTAAAAGTAACAATCCTGTTACGTTCAAAGCTCGAATAAAATCTGGTCTTAGAAAGGCTGAGCAGAACAGTCTTGCTCTGCTGTCATATAAAATTGGTGTCGAATTGTGTGAGTTTCTATTTTGTCTGGTAACTGGATTGCATTAGAAGCTGTATGGTCGTTCTATTCGCTGTTGTGGCTGTAGTGAAATCACTCTTAGTTGGAAACTTGTTTCCCATTGCTGTTACGTCGACCCTCTCATGTATGATATGATAGCTCCACCATTCACTAACGCTGTGATGTAACTATCTCCGATTATAGCTTCTAAACAGAGTAGTTCAGCTGACCTTTGTCCACTGTGTAGATGCGCGGAACAATAAGTTGTTCTTCGCTTTCTGGAATTGGTTCCGCTTCCGTCAGCAAAATGTTGACGGCTCGTGACTGCTGACGACATTTTCCTTTGGGTGTATAGTTTAGTGCGGTGTCAAACATGGCTGACGCAGCTGTAGACGTTGCGCGTCTGACAAAGTAAAATTTTATTTAAACTACGCATGCGCATATACACAATGCGGTGAAGATGGCAGGTACCTTGATCCAAAAAAGAATACGGAGGAGCGACCATTTAATCTCTTTTACTCTTTCTGAGAGTTTCTTTCTTGTCGAATCATAAAAAAGATTTGACTGGCCTGCGGAAAAGCTATTATCCCAAATCTTCGAGATTCACTTATAACCTTTCTTTTGTGGTCTGGTTGCTATCTCCGCTTGCTGTTGTTTCATTTCTTCCATATGCATATTTGTAGAAGGAGCATAATGTTCAAGGATATGGTAAAAGATTGGGGGGAGAGGGGTTCAAAAAGAAAGGGCATTACGTGTTTGTTGATCGCAATGTTCGGCGGAAGTAGTTTCTGGATTATTATCAATCTCGCTGGCAAAGGGTAAGGGCAAGGGACATTAGCCGAGGTTTGTATATCATGTGTTCCAGGGATGATGAACCATAAGTCGGCATCGACTCGTACTGGAGCCAGGGCATAGCAGGATTCGTTAACCGCGTGTTTAGTATAAATATGTGATGAGTTTAGTTGACGACATTTGTGATTATAAATTCATTAGCTGTCCGAATGGCGATTTCCATTCTTCCCAGCAACATCCTGGCGGTCTATTTTGGATCTGTCGCGCTAAGAGGTCCAGTTGTGCACCTCAATGAAATGTCGTATGCAAATGTGTTGAAATGACGTCGAGCTAGTAATTATCGGCGGAGTTGTTGTAGTAGCTATTAGAGGTCATTGATATTGTTCCAACCTTCGTTCCTCTCTGTTTGTAGTTTTTGCTCCAATAACATCATTGTTTTTACTAGCCAAAGTTGCCAACCATAGGATGGTAAGGCTGGATATACCTTGCTGTTGTTTTCTCTTCGCACTATTGCGGTAACTCCCCTGAGGTGATAAGGGGCTTATGTGTTTTTCTCGATGTTGTAGTCCGTATGCTGGCATTGCTGTGGGAGGTGTTGTACTTTGCACAGCATTTGTCTTGGAAATGGTGTTAAGGTATTGTGCTGTGTTTCCATTGGTAGCTGTTGTCATTCCGATAGGAGTAGGTGTCATTATTCTTTCGAAGCTACTTCGTCCAAGCTCGTTGTTGCGTTGACATGGTCGTAAATATGCATGTTGTTTTAAAAGCAGGTGGCGGAGGGGTAGCCGTGCTAAGTGAAGTTACTTGCGTACGAGATGTTGTTGTTGACGAGCTTCCTTCTGTCGTCAAGTTGTTGTTGTTATAAACGTGATGAATTCTGCTTCCTTGGTTTGAGTAGTAGCTTTGGCTGGTAGTCGGCTTGGCTCTTGTGATGGTATGAAGTAAATATAGTTTGCTGGGTTGTAGTCACTGTGGATCTGTTTGCAAAGTATGGAACTCTGAGATCCCATTCCGGCTTCAATGATCCTGGAAGATTAAATAGAGCTTCCCCAAATTCGGCATTCAAATACTCGTTGAAAACTATAGAGATTCAGCTTCAGGTCTCGGCGAACGCTGTTCTCTAATTCAGAGTCCTTAAAATTGCAATTCTAAAGAGAATCAATTGTTTTGTACGGTACTCGGCATATCTTATGGTGCGCAAAACGACAAAACTCCTTTATGTTATACACGTGGTCTTCTGGCAACGTCGTTATTTGTAAAGTTCCGTCACTCCATATCTAAGAGAATTTTTTTCTTTACATTCAGGCGCGTGCGAAAGTTTGGCATTTTCCCCAAATTGTCAATGTTGAACAATCGTTTGATGAGCAGAACAGGTTCGGCTGGCACGATTTCAAACTGTGACGTGCGGCCATACCAATCTGTAAGGTAGCGTGTGGCCGTACGTCACATTCATTCACATTTCACTTTTCGACGGTGTGATACCCCTAAGACGTAGTCTTCTACCATGAGGTTTCGGTATATACGACTACAACTCGCAATACTAAGTCAGTTGAGCATGCAGAAGATAATCATTAAAAAGTTGAAATACGTGGTCAGGGTGGGGCAGCACTACGTGTTTTAGAGAAAAAAGCTTCATAGGAGCCAATATTTACAAATCTACAGAAAGATTTGAAGTGGGTAGATTTCCAAACGATACTCTGGGGTCAGGCAGAATTCGCTCGTTAGAGAGGTTTCCTGTATCTCCTAGTGAGCTGATAATGTTTTACTCATCGAATGAGGCCACTTGTCCGTCTTCGAATGTATAGATATTGCGCAAATATTTCTTGGTGCCTCAACGTGGTATGGTAATGTCGTCTTCTTCGATCTCTTCTGTCATCCGCAGCTCGGGTGAGAATGTAATCAAGCCATGACCACGAATTCTCCTGTAGTGCGCGCTTCTTCGCATAATTTGTGAGATGGATATGCGACGTCGGTGAATAGTCTTACTTGTACGAATGCGAAGGAAACTACTTATAGAAACCTCGATTGCGTCTCGGTAGCACTTTGTAGAATTGATGCACAGCGGGTTTGGCTTTTCCACATATAATTGCACAGTTGCTCGTATCATCGGAGCATGGCGGAGTCGAACAATCATTCTCTCAGGGAGTCTCTCTCAGGAAGGGAAAATATTCGAATTAAAATTGGCATATATAAAGATGGACTGTAATCGTCCGATACATAGATAGAATATGAGGGTCAACAAACAGAAGACATGTGTGCTCGGGGCAAAATTTCTCGCTCCTCCTCCAAAGTTAGTGGTCGGCTGTTCCATCGCCAAGTTATTCAATCCAGACGTTATATTGTATGGTTGCTGCATGGGTGCTCAGCAAGTGCAGATTCTCATTCCATGTTCCTGCACTGTACTCGTGCTCGTTCTGCTGTTCCAAAATATTCGTGAACCAAATGTTAGTGATCGTATTCGTGATGGAAAGCTCGGTCGTCGTCAACAGTTCATTCCTCTGTTATAGAAAAATCGTGGCTGTGTACGGATCCCGATGAGCCTTGTTTTTATCTTCCTCTTGTGGCGGTGTAATGTTCTGCGCATTCTTTCTTTGCGGTGTTACCTTCATTTGACTTAGTTGTTGTTCAAGGCGGTTAACTTTTTCGTCCGTCATAAGAGCGTTGATAGCCTGAATGGCATCTTTGTCTTCTTTTCTTTCTTGCTCCAATATACAATATTCCTTTTCCGCACTGTAGACAATAGCCTAGAATTCGTTGGTATCTGGTAGTCTTCTTGTTACTTACCCT